CCGTACTACCATATTTTACAAATGATGAAGGAATCCCGTCAGGTCCACCGTCATAAGACGTTTTCAGGGCAGCTATGGCCTGCTTGATGTTGGAGGTTATCAAATCAGTTTTCATATCCTTAAACATTCTTGCGGAACTGAAAAACACTAAAAAGCTTAGCGGTTGACGTATCTTTCAGTAATCTACAAGACTATAGGCACAACGGCTTCAGGGTCGATATTTTGCTCGAATTCATAAGTCCTGTTGAACTGATCGAAGTGGTCAAACTAACTGGAAATTCAGCCGTCTAGATGTGACAGTATCAGAGAAAACACCCTTGTTGTAGTTGGTAAGCCTACGATCAATTTTTGGGGACATAAAACTATGCATTTGACTTTCACCGACCGTCAAAACTCCAGTAGTCACTAAGAATTATCCTTTACCATGATTTTACGTACTGCCAATCAGTCTATCCCAAAAGAGATTCGTAAAATTTCTAGTTTGCCTCATAACGTGCACACTCACTCTCAGCTGGCTAAAAGTGAAACAGGATTATCAGGTAATGTGTAAACGATTAGCCAACAGTTGGTTGTGAAAGCCTAGGAACCAATGGACATAATTTTACGTAGAGAATGATATAGTAACGTCCGGCATACAATATACGATCATATTTCCCTCAAAACAATACAAATTTTAGTCCTTGAATTTTATCTGGACACAACCTGATGAGTACAGCGGCTATAAATTCATGGTTACTCGCCAGCATTATTGTGCAACAAAGAGTGGAGTGCTACAATCAGAAGCATTACTAGTTTGACTCGAAAAATTTATCCTGCATACACTGTGGCAGCCTACCAACATTTTTCATTGATTGTTATTGTGAGCAACCTTTTGAATACATAGGCCACCTACTTCACCTACCATCGGAATACTACAACACGCTATCTCTGTTTGTTTAGCTTAGCAAACTTATAGATTAGTGACGAGCCTACATAAAAGAGTTATAGCTTACAATTTTACGTACTGTATCGGACCGCCATTGTGACTATTATTATTGAATCCATATACTATGACATTTCGACAACACAGTTTTACAGTGGTTGCTTCGAAAAACAAACACTGTCTAGTCAGATAACTTCAGTTTCGACTAAATAAAGCCATTACAAAGTTTTCAAGGCTCTTGCAAGCTCTATTCAACCGCATCAATACACGACTGGCTTCACGATAGGTTTGGATATATTATTCAGTGCGCTATCTTAACTAATTTGCAAACCAGCATCCATACGGAGATACGGAATAGTGATAAAAAAAGATAAGCGGAGAGAGGATATGTCACTTGTCGGCATGTAATCATAGTGTGTCGTGTTATATAATTTTCTATTCGCTCAGTGGTTAGATAGGGTATTAACAAAATAAACATTAGTACATTGTGCAGTATACCCTTTAAAGTCACATTTTTTACTACTTAATCATGTGATATTTTTGGCGGCGCTACTTTAGTTTAGGTAGTAATAAACTGAAAAAGTTCGGCATATTGGTCTGTATGTATGATTCGCCTATTTAAAGATATTGAAAACGTTCTGAAGTTACATAATGTTTGTTCTGTTCTATTTTTGCATATGTATTAAACTAAACTAACTATCGATCTTTAGTCAAATACTTGATTTAGCCAAAACCCAAGCTAATAAATTAATGATAAGACTAGACACGTGGTGCTAAGAATATCAATTCACCAAGTTGTTAGGTGCGTTATTATATCTCTACGTTCCCTAGAAAGATGCATTCTAACAGGTTTTCACATGTTGTACGGAGATTTTATACCATTATTCTGTCTAAGCTACATATTTTTTTTAGCTATCTAAATATATAGTTCTGTGTCCGAAAAAAACGATAATTTACATGCAGTTGGTGTAAAGAGCTAAGAAAATTGTTTACAATAGGTAATGGGTTTTATTATTTTACCGTCCTTTGAACATTTGTGTCTCTCTTCAGGTTCATCGAGATGCCATTCACGAAGGCTAGAAGCCGGATTGTTGAAACACACAGGAAAACAAGTACATACAACGAAAGGCATTAAAAGCAATTCACAATAATGACGTCATACCTCAGTATGCCTGCAACCAACTTGCATTGACAACAAATATGTCTTCAGTTTAGTCGTCTTGGTATACGATGGGGTTTATGGATCTACGATGAAAGATATAAACTGAAGTGTAACTTCTTGAGTTTGCATAATGTGCATTGGCAAACGAAAAGGATGTTCGCGAGGTTAGGTGAAACACTGCTGAATAAGAACCGACTTATTTGAAGATAGATAATTTTTTAATTGTTTATCATGTGTGTCTGATCGGCTAAAGGACTAGGAAGTAGATTTACCGTTCTGCTCTTGAAAGACAGTTACACCCGAATAACCAACATAAAAGAGAGAAACAATATATATGTCCAATCTTCATTCCATATACGTGTCTATAACCTTTGGACTCCTAATATCCTAACTGCAGAGCTTAATGCCGTACCTATCAGACAAAAATGCCATGATCGAAGCTGCCCTAAGAGTATATGGTTTGTTAGGTTTCGTACTACACCTTTCCAAAATGAACTGTGTTAGGTGCCTCTTAAACTGTAATGACACTAAGCTAAGTGCTAACGTGTTAATTAATTTCCCTCCGAAATCTTATTATCTGTAACTCTGATTTTCTTATGTCTTTTATCGTTTGTTTAAACCGACACACTATCTGATGTGACTGGACAGAAACATTGTTGTATGTAAAATATGATTGTTTGGATGAACAAATGTTTTTAAGGATGCCTTTACGACTCCGAATTTACTGCTGTAGAGGGATCACAGAAGAATGTTGCTGTCTACCTAATTGTACAGAATGCACACTGGCGCCCAACAGAGATGATATATTCTAAGCTGAACAGTAATTCATGTCACGTTTTTCAAAGTGCAAGGGAACTATACCAATCCGTACTGATTCATTCAATGATTCTGAAAGTACAGTAGTGTGTGACATGTAACAAATGATGTAACTCTTCATATTGACATGACACTGTCCTCTGTGTTAGTGCTTTGAAGTATCCATATGAAGTAGTCAAGCCTCAAATTCATGACGACCACGAAAATCTATAAAGTGACGTGCATTCATGCCCTCTGTTGGATTCACGGCCCGAATCAACGAAACTATGGAGAAAGATACAAACGAATATATAGTTTGTAACGCATGAACAGATTTTATCTCAGAAGATAGCACACTACCGTCAGTTGTTGAACTACCTGTTACCAATCAAGAATGAAGTTTGACTGATACATCGTAATGTGTTACTGTCTCGCGAAAAGTCTATACTGATAAGTCTTTTAACTGAACGTTTGAATCGGTTTCCTATGCTCTTCTAATGACTCCGAGCTAAATCTTCACGACATCGTGATCACGAGAGAAGTAAGGCTAAGGCTATTTACTCTTGAATACGTTTCTTTACAACTATATCCTTCAGAGATTATTTCGGCAATCTGTTGAGTGTATATAAAGAAATTTGATGAGTGAATCTTTGTTCTAGTCACTTTACAATCGCTTGAGACTATTTGTCAGTGACCTTGATAGTGCCCTCTATTCGCCAAGCACGTACAAATTTTGCGCTACTTGGTGTCATGCTCTGAAGTTTCTTGTTGACGTCAAAGTGATCTTCAAACAGTCCAGGTAATGACACATATTTACTTATTCAGACTAGATCAGTATTTCTAATCTTACCTTCTATATTGGTAAGTTTCTTCAAGGTGGTTGGATTGGACCAATGAAATAATTATCTCATCACAACAAAATTAACTTTGTTTCTAACTCTACATCAACGTTCATATTTCGGTTGCTTAATGGTAAGGAGTGTAACTTTAAAATTTACCCTTAGGATAGGATGTGAAAGTTGGTAAACCGAGAGAAAAGACTTCATACTACGGTGGGGATAAAGTTGACGCTGACGATGAAGGTATGGTTAAAAATCTTGTCTTGTGTGTTCTATGCGTAATTACATTCTTCATGTTAGATGTGTACAGCTGATGCCTAACCTTTTTGGGGTTTACAGTGTTTTCTAATAACTCGATTTTCAAAAGTGATTCTCGACTCATGTGACAGACATTTAACTGCTGTTCAGTTTTTGATTACGCTTCACTTCATAGCATTCACTATCAGTCAAAATCTTATTCGCTCCAGAGAATAATAAGCCAGACGTTTTTTATTTCTAGGGACCCACCTTTTGTCATCATTTTGCGCTATCAAGACAGACATTCAGCTTTTAGGAATACTTTTATCATTACTATAATTATATTCGGAAAACCGTCAAGTGATAACAACTACGGAAAATAAAGACATCTACGTAGTTATTAGACGCAACATTTGATGAGTTCCATTTATGAGCAAGCAAAAAGCTCAAAATGAACATGAACTTAATAAATTCATGGCATTCACATCAATAAGGTGTACAAACATCAGATGCTTCTTTGGAGTTCAGAAACTAAAAACCGAAAAAGTTGAATACTGTCTATATCTTTTGGAGACGCATCAGCAGACTTTATCTTTCCACTATTTTTTCTAGCAATACCGTATCATCATTCCATGGGTAGATAAGAGGGCGAGACTAGTTTAGCGACGACCTTTGAACGAATCTTAAATGACCTTGACAATTATTAGACAATCAGAAGACAGTTAGTATAAAGTGAGAATATGTTGTAAGTAATGAATTATAGTGGATATTCTTCTTTTACATGATTCAAAAACTTGTTAAGGTTTGATAAAGGTTCAGAGGCTCTGAATTCATAATGCATATTGTATAGAAACTCGTTCATAGGGTTAGTGGTTAGGGCTGTAGCCTAGGCTTAGGGTGCTAACATCCGATCAGTTCACAACGGATTTTAGAGGTTAGGGTTAGGGGTGAGGGTTTGGGGTTATGGTTAGGGTCGGGATGGAGTTGAGGCCTGTGAAAAAACACCTCTTCTCTAAAATCCGATGTAAACCGATCGCATGTTAGCACCCTAACCCTAAACCCTCATCTAACCCTAACCTTAACGTAACCCTAACCTAATCCTAAACCCTAACCTTAACCCCAAACCCTAACCCTATGGACGAGTTTCTATACAATATGCATCATGAATTCAGAACTTCTGAGCATTTATCAAACCTCAACAAGTTTTTAAATCATGTAAAAGAAGAATATCCACTGTAATTCATTACTTTCTTGTAATATATTTTTACTTTATACTGTCTTCTGATTGGCTAATAATTGAAATTGCTCAAACGCTTCTCATTGGCTCGTCCCTAAATTAGAGTTCCGCCGTCCCATCTGTTTTAACCTCTCATTAAGCACCTCCTCCTTAAAATCCGCTGTGAACCGACCGTATGTTAGCATCGTGTGTTGAACTTGGCTCCGTGACCTTGAAATTGCTCAATCGCTTCTGATTGGCTCGTCGCTAAATTAGAGTCTCGCCGATAAGAGTATCAATGTTGAACCTATATGGAATTACATGAAACCCAAGTTCCCATACTTAGTAACATCGCAAGACGTGATATCAAACAATAAAACGGGTGAAAATGCACATCAAATGGTGCAGTTTAAGTGACGGCGAATATATCGTCACACGTCCTGATCTTTATTCATCTACTTGGGTTTGAACAGCTATGTAGCCTGGATCCCTACCACTACAAACACTAAAATTCTGACCCCAACACTTCATTCCTCTAGGGAATCGTCATTCAATCTTTCTAAAATACGAAGTGTAGTCGACATCATGATCTCCAGCAACAACCTGTACTCAATATCATATGAAATTCGTGCTGATATATGACATAGGATATTTCAACTTTGACTGGACATTGAAGGCAGTCGGTTTTTACCAGACAGTATCGTTACCCCGCAGTCATTGTGTCATTAAAAGTCGAATAAGTAGACCTGTAGTTGGCAATGAGTTTTATTACTACTATTTTATAGCACTATCATTGTGATCAATCCTGAGCTACATCACCAGTTGCTCTTAAATACTCATTTCTATCATCATGATGAAGTGTGAAGCCTCCGCTTGCCCATTTTATTCAAAGACCTTAAAGTTCAGCCAAGTGTCTTTCTCTGACTATCCTAGTTTATTTAAACCTAATCTTCAAATGTAATCATTATGTTTCCCAGTTGTATCAGTCAGCCCGGTCTTTCTCAATGACTGTCCGAAACTTCATACTTTACCTTGGTTAAGGCACACAACAAATTTGAAGGATCCTTTTAACCCCTGCTTTGATATTGATCATAAAAATTGAAGACAAGGGTGATAAATACGTTATTTTCTTCAATTCAAGACTTGGAAATCGAAAGTCTTAAAATCTTCACCACGGAATTCGGATACAAGTGAACTATCCAGATTTCTCCACGTGACTGATAGCTTATCTTGCCTACCTTGAACTTCGTTGATTGTCGTCGACCTTCATTCTGTCATTATTTGCATATTTATTTTAACCATCTTCCCTTTTTTCCTGGTTCTTCATCCTATATTTATCCATAATGCTTCTAATTGTCTAATTATTTTCACAATAGTAAGTAAAGAAATAAAATTGTTAGAAATAATCATAATACTGAACATATCAAATAACAAATTGCCTACGTTAAAAGTGTCAACAGTTTGGTCTAAACTGTTCCAAAAAGAAACTCAGGATATTTAAAAGGTAAAAAACTAATCAGTATATATGGTTATCGGTTAACAGCAGTTTTTATGAGGTCCAAGTTGTATTGTAGTGGCTATATTTTATATTATGTTATCGTCTCAATGATCGATAGATCCAGGTATACGCAATATCTGATGCGATAAACCGTCCAAGTAAAGCATGGGAAACCATCATCCTCTCTCTTCGATTATGTATGATTATTATATCATATTCTAAGTATTGTTTTTCTTTATTGGGTTTAACTCACAGTTGGTCATTTTGTGTTATGGATGCTTTCTCACATACTGTTATTTCTACATTTTAAATAGAATCTCAAAAGCTTTGTATAAATGATTGTCGACAAAAGCAGGCAGCATTGTACCCTCCCTTTTTGTTCAAATCATCGTCGGCACAGTTACTTCTCTCACCTCCAGATGCAAGTGAACTTCTTGTTATAACTGGTCAAAGTAGAATTCATCTGTATATACAGCGAAATTCGGACGAACTTTCGCTCAAAACATGTGAAAATTGCAATAACTCTAATCACTCAAACATCTCAAATCCTATTGAAGTCGATTTGGCCGTTTGCAAACTAAATAATCTTAGTATTCCATCGTTTCCTCAAAATTTGTCTTCTGAAGTTTCAATATTCCGGTCTCATGGACTTCCTTTACTTGTTTGGCCTAAATCAGCTGATAAAATACTCATTCAAAAGGTATATAGTATACTGTTTTTACTATTCGGTTATGACTGTTATTGTTTGTACTTTAGTAAGGAAAAAACTAAAATAACATGTATGAATATTCTTGTGTTTTCAGAGCTTTGGTAATCATTCAAAAACGTTGCATATTTGGACTAGGCGTATCTGTGAAATCCAGAACCCACGTTTTTTCTCATTTGTAACTTGTCATGTAAATGTTTCTCAGTGTGGGTGTTCACATATCAACAACAGGATGAAACAAACACGAATAAACGTTACTCGTTGAGCGAGTTGGTGGGTAGCTGTACTAAGTAGCCTAATAAATAACTGGTTGGTGTTAGTCTGAAGTCTCAATGTGAGCATCAGGTTTGTAATGCATACAAATCTACCTAAAAGTTCTAAATTGATCGAAACCCGCTTCCTGGATTCTGTTTTTAGTTTTAGTCTAAGTATACTGAAACTTATAACAAAAAGGTAATATTGAGGTACCTGTTCAAGATCCATTTATGGAAATCCAGTATTAAATATTAACAGTAGGGCAACAAACCCTTACCAATATGCTTTATCACTTATCTTCTTGAGTCAGATAAGAATACCTTTTATGTTGGTAAACCTAGTTGTCAGATTGTCCAACCTCATGGTAGTTGGCTGATTATCCATTTTCCTGTCACAGAACGTTTTGATTCTACACCAGTTTGAGGAAGCAACAGTAAATTCAACTAAGCATTTGTTGATGAAAATGTCAAAACCTATTAATAAAGACACCGTTAGTATTAGATTGCTTATGTCCCTGTTACCGTGCTATATAAAACAGGTCATCATATCGTTCTGATATGTTTGGTACTTGACCCTATTTGTTGAGAGTAGACCAATCAGTATTTTCGAATTATTCTTGCATCAGAAAAACAAGGCAACTTGTTAATCTTTTTCCCTAATATAAAGTTGAATGAACCAATAAAGTTTGTTGATTGTGAGTTTGTTTTAAATGTACATCATCATTTTTAGTATTTAAATGATAACTATCCGGATTGTGGTCGTTGGTTTAGTGAACTAGATAAAGTAACCGGCTGGTTGGAACAAAAATGGAGGCCATTAACACGAAACTTGGGCATAGTTAATAATGGTGAAATCAGTAATAATGATGATAATTGGATCAGATTAGATAAGAATATATGTATTCGTGGTCTTCCCTCGGATTGCGTTGCTGTAACTTATTTGAAAAAACGTTCAACACAATATGAAAAGTATGTGATAATCTACTCTTATCGATTAATGTAGTTTATCTATCTAGTTATCGTTCTATGTACTCGACTGTTAGTCACATATTTTTGTAAGAGCCGATGATACTTGCCACATTCATCGGGCGAACTCACTGTATATATATATATATATATATATATATATATATATATATATATATATATATATATATATATAGTTTTGCAGTAAACAATAATTAGTTTGGGTAGAAAAACAGATAAATAATATATCAGCCAATAAGGAAATAGTCCTTTTATGACTAACCATTAAATTGCGATAAGAAGCCAGTTACTTATTAGCAGTGCAGTTATAATAAAAGAATCTCAAAACACTACCCAACTACCTGAACTAAAGTAGGTGTTGTGGGTTTCAAACCTAGGACTTTTGCAGATTTATAGCTAAGTAGATTGTCTACCAAAATACCACGCCACATATGGTTGTATAAAATTTCTTGATATCGTTATTACTAATAAACAAGTTTATAGCTAAAGTGTGCACAGAACAATTATTAGCAAATACGAATTTGTGAAGGTTATTACTATTTAGCCTGTAATCAAACCACTAAAATAATAGAAAAAGAACGTTTTCCTGTTAATTTGTAACAGGTGTACAACGTTATCAAAATGTTTATTAGATTAAATTAGTCGTTTCCTTTCGATTTAAGAGTTCTTTTTGTGTGTGAACTATGGTAATAACGTAATCTGATTATGAAGCAAAGTATTGATCACTCAAAGATTTCGAGCCACCCATTTTTTGTGTAGGGACTAGTGTTACTACTATCCATTAGTTTTTGGGACCAAAGCAGTAGTGTTGCATTTTTATCTCTCGATTCAGTTATCAAAAGTGCTGTACTTTAAAGTACTAAGCTATTGATCTTCGGTTCTTTGTACCGACGTTTTTATATTAAGCATATATTGCATCCTTAAAGTTCTTAACTAACAAAGATCATGAGGTATATGGGTCAGTCAGAGTAAGTCACATTTGAAATCCGGTTCAGATGATCGATTGTCCTACTAATCTAGTTTTTGCAAAGCGTTTTCGGTTACTTATACTTAGTTCCTCCCTTTTGGTTGTGAAAATGATAGTGTCTCCAGACACTGATTTCAACAAGCCTATAGTTGAATATGTGAATAACGATCTTTTCTTTATCATCATATTCTTTTTTCGAAGCGACCTTTACTTTGCTCAATATGATATCTTGAGTTTGACGACAGCTGAATGAGTACGCATAAGACCCTACACCCATCAGTTCTAATTACTGAAACTTCATGTCCTATTCAATTTTTTTCAACTTTATTCCTCATGGATATAACATTTCTCATTTGAAACCTTCATGTCTTAGGTTGTCTAATTGTCTATTCAACAAACAATGTAATAGTTGTTAACCAACTAACTCTTAGTAATAATAATTCACTCTTTTAGATACGCCAGTTTATTAAAAAGTTACTTTACTCATCGTCTACAATTCACAGCAGCTTTTCATCATAATCCTATACATAGAGAACTTGAAGAACATTACAAAGTAAGCAGGTATTATATCACTGATGATTTTTACGACAATGATATAATGATGAACGTTTTATCTAATAATTGTGTAAAATTAATCGGTGTATCTTCTATTAAAAATATATTATTAATCTTAGTATATTTAATTTGCGTGTAAGGGTGGAGTCCAGGTGAATTTCGTTCTATTTGGGACCGACCTATCAGGTAGATGTAGCAGCATTCCAGTGTTGATCTTCACACAGATTCGGACCCAGTACCTATCCATTCAATGCATTATACACTAGTATACCAGGCCCAGTTAACCACTAGCTTGTTCGACGGTTATCATGTTTATTTGTAACGGTTTTTATCGTATCTTTGTAACTGAAACTTATAACAAAATAGCTATATCGAAGCCGCTCACCTAGGGTGTATATATACTAATGAAAACTGATCAAAATTCTGTCCTATATATCAACAATGGGATAATTTAAGCTCATAAGTATGTATTAATAATAATTTAAACAGTGTCATCAGAATTGTGCAGTGTTATTGTCTTGTACTGTAGAGCTTTGTGACACTAGTTCAAATCCCATTGAGGGCATCGTATACTTCAAGATTGCGAATACAGTGTATTGACAAATCCCAACTACCATGAAACTTCGATTAGTCAGTTCTTTTACCATCGATAACCTCTAACCATCGAACAGTGTCATTCATATTTTGACCTATTTTTGTGATATTAAATGTTTTATCAAAACCTTTCATTCCTCAGATTCTTTGTGTTTGGTATCGTTTAATAATCGTCTGTTACTTATTTACTAACTCCTTTGGATCTGTACTCATGTGAACGTAGAAATCACTCGATCACTGTCATTTTAGCCTTAATCCATAACAAAAACACCTAGTCATGAACGTCCCTAGTTAATCACTTCTATTAAGAGTAGGTTTAAAGTTAAAAACAATATACTTATTAAAATAAGGATCAGTTTAGGGGTTGTGGAGATTGTTAAGTTTTTGATTGAGATTATGAACCGATTAATGTTAGACCACCATTGAAAACCTGAAAGCACTGGACGACCGTTTCGTCCTATTGTGGGACTCCTCAACAGTGCGCATCCACGATCCTGCTCACGGGATTTGAACCCGGGGCCCAGGGATCGTGGATGCGCACTTCCGAGGAGTCCCACAATAGGACGAAACGGCCATCCAGTGCTTCCAGGTTTTAAATGGTGGTCTAACATCAATCGGTTCATGATCTCAATAAAATAAGTATGTTTATATAAGTTGTGTTCAATGTGTAGTTTACGTCATGCAGTTGACTGAAGTAAAACAGCAATCATTAAAAACCGGAGAGCCGTTGAACATTCGTTTTTTTTCTATTTTAGAACTTATCAGCAGTAGGCATCCATAGCACAGTCGGTCGAGGAATGTTCTTTCGTTAAAAGGATATTTAAAAAATAGTATTGCTTTTATAATTAACTCCCCTGTGTATTTTATTACACCAGTCCACACCTCAGTAAATTGACAATTCATAATCTTTTTCAGTTCATTCTTACTTCAATATGTTCCTGAAGTTCTGACATGAAGTCGTGGCTGGTGGAGTTCATTTCCGTGAGCAATGTTAAGAATGACCACCAATAGTATTTAATTATTGTCGTCCTACATTGCGAACTGATTGAAGCTGAAAACGCACCATTGGATGATGGCTCATTAGTTCCTAATGGTTAAACATTTGACGCAAAACCTGAAGGTTTTATCTTTGATCTTTAACACGATCCTACATACTCATATCTAAGGAGTCTTATAATAAAATGAAATTATTGTTTGTTCTCCACTATTTTACAATGATAATCCCAACTTAAACCGATATATCACTATTACAACCTTATTAATTCTTGTTATTTTATTTAAAATTAGGAAAGACTCGCTTGTTTAAGTGAAGATGCTGGTTATTTTAATGTTATTGGGAATCGTCTCATTCAAGTGATTAATAAAGCTTTATCATCTGGTAAACCGTATTCTCTTAACCCAATCACTTTCACTTCTTCTATCAGTGATTTAAGTATGAGAGAACAATGGTGAGTGAGTGGTACGAGTTTTTCTTGAATGGATATTTTTCAACTATATATATAATGGTGCATATGTGTGAGGATGTAGTTTGGTCGCATAGCGATCATAGCTAAAATTACAAACTACTGAATTCTCTGACTCAATGGTTAAATGATATATTTCTTTTCATATCATAACCAAACCCTATGGTGCTTGGTGCGATCCTGTCTCTTCGATCGCAGATATACTTGACCATAGAGTTTAAAATTAGGACGTATCATCTGTCCAATCCCACCTAATTTTCAGCCAATTTTAGATGAAGCAATTCATCAGTGATTGAAGCGTCTAGCCCTCAGCCATTAAATCACTGGTCTAAACTCCATTTTGTTTTATCCATTTTTCATTGAACATTTAGGTAATATCACTAGCCCCCACCCTTAAAATATGTCTGGAACCCCAGGGGCACGAATCTGTGCCCGGGAAAGGAGTTGATAATTGATCACTAGATTAAATTTGTTTAAAAAGTAGTACAAATCTAAACGGGAACTAATAAAATAATTCCAGTGGACTGTACTGGTGATAAATTTGCGTTTATATTTTTTGATTTACAGTTTACATGCTTTACTACCTGGCAATGAGGTGAAGAATATTAGAAACCAGAAGAGGAAATCCGTAAGTTCCTTTTCTGTATATGTATCAAAGTTTTGTAGAGATTAATTTAACTTTTATATAGTCACGATTGATTGATCACTTGGTGGTGATCAATGTCATGTGTGTCAAGTCCTTAGTGCAGATCGAATGCTATCGATCGAGTTGCAATGTGGCCACCAGTCTAGGTGACTCGACATTGCGTGCACTATGTTGAGATTAGATGGTGGTTGGAGGTAGTCAACAGGAAACCCTGAACCCGGGTTTCGTGCTACTTGGCACTCATCGACAAGGATAGCTTAGTGGTAACGTCTCTGACTGTGAAGCTGGATGGCACGGAATCGAATCCATCAGGGAGCACCACTTCCCTCAAGATTACAGGTACACCTTGCTGACGAGTGCCAAGTAGCACGAAACCTGGGTTTGCTGTTGACTACCTCCGACCATCATCTAACTTTTATGTAGTATTTATCGTAGGTTTATGTAATTTAAAATACCGTATAAGTTTATTAAGTGCTAACCGCGTGGTCTAATGATAAAGCATTGGTTAAGAGACTTCGATGCTGTTGATTTTTTTCCTGGAGTGATCATGGCCATTCATTAACCGTGGAGTTTCATAGTAAACCGAATTAACTGTTAAGTGCTCTCTAGATTTCCGTGGTAACACAAGTGAGGTCCATCCAGTACATAATTTTCTTCAAAGACATTGTGCAAACGTATCTCATTCTAAATTAATTTTGGAACAAGCTACTTCGTCATACCCGGATTTTTTGTAAACTCTCTATTGTTTGTTGGGATCCATGTTAAAACACTCAAAATACAAATAAGCGCGCATAACTTATTAGATGCTTTCGCAATGTTAGATCCACAGTATGATCCGATATTTTTAGTTCTCCTCAACTCTGTTAGCTTTACAATATTTTTTCGATGGGGGAATATCGTTATTCCATACCAAAGTGATTTTAATTGATCTTTTCGTCATAGTTGATATACACATACAGGTGACTGACACAGAATATATATTTAATATGGATTTAGCTGGTTGGTGACCAATATATATATAGTTCTACTGTGAGTAATAATTACACTTTTTTAAAATAACTGACATTCAAAATGATAATGAGTTCAGCAATAACAATCAACTTGCAGCACAAATAAGTCTAGAATAACCATGTGAACATTGTCGAACAAATAACTTACGTATCTAAGAGAGAAATCATGCAATAAAAAACTAGATACCTACGAATAATACAGTTATAATACGCGAATCTTACATGGTACGCTTCATCAGAGGGAGGCTTTTAAGCCTTGGAATGATCTTTTCGCTTTTATATATTAAATTAATGTCAAACGGCTTAATATTTTCAAATTCAGTCAATATTGGTGTCAACATTTTCCTGTTTTGTTTCCATTATTGTTTGTAGACTAACGAACTGTGTAGAATCGATGGTCTTTCCGACACGGATAGGTAATAATAATTGAAATTCGTTATGTTTTTATCTTTCCATCTCTTCTTGTGGCCAATCATGTGTTGTTTCTATTTTTCCCAAAGTTTCTTATCGGTTACAACTATAGACTAGTAATTGAAGTTTAGTCTTTTTTCGGTGAAGACAATAGGGCGAAAGCATGGTATAGCGACGAGCTTTAAACAGTCACGATCAACTTCCAGCTACATTCTGACCAATCAGGAATCAGCCTTTATAAGTAGATAGCTTGTGGTAAAGAAAACAATAATATTGCGAAAAATAAACAGATTTTATAGAAAATTGATTTTATTAATGTCTTGTACACGTTACACTACTTATAAATAAAAAGCAACGACATATAAACTCGTTCTAATGGATATAGGTTGTCCATATAATCAAATTCTCAGGAGAATCCAAACGGCCTATTAATAGTTCGTACACTGATTATTATACATGGCATTTGAATTTTGTGCGGAAAGCTAAAGATTGGGTTCCAAATTGTGAAGACTCGTCTCTGAAGTGTACTTCCATCGACAATAATGGGTGAAGTTTAATTATATAATACTGAATTTGTCATGTGTACTATCACTTCATTGGTTATTTCAGTTATCCACTTGTTTTTCTGCTATAAATCAGGAAGTATTCACCATATTGTAATGTGCGAAAATTAGTACTTGTCTACACAATTTTGAAACTGTCAACACCCTTAGTAGTACAGTAAACAAAAAATGTTATAGATGCAAAGCAAAGTAGGAGTGGAAATGACATGATATCCATCATAGTAGTAAAATAAATGTAAAATTTATTTTAGGGTAAAGAGTACGAAATGTTCGTGACTTAAATTGTCTACCACGAACAGATTTTTATACTCGGCTCCCAGTCAAACTTTGTGTGTTAAAGTTAGTGATACTATCCCACTGCTCAAACTCAAGTAGGTGAATCAATAATGTTCGAACACGCGACCAAGCGGCTATATTTCGAACATCTTAGCCACTAAGCCACCGATCCACTGTATGAAATAAGAGTGAATGGAACTGTGCTACTGCAACGTTTTTTTGTCTTATCACTCAATATCGCCAACCGCAAATTACTATCATTGCGCTGCTCTTTTTCAGGAAATTCTCACTTTGTGAAGTCCCTGTCAAAGCAGTTAGTTACTTTGTGGAATGGTGCCATGTATTGGTTTAGCTTCCTTTAACCCCCAGAAATCAGTCATTATTAAGATTATTCGACCTGAAGAATGTAGAGCAAGTGTCGTGTTGATTTAAATAACTTTCTATACTACTTTTGACAATTTATTTTGTTTGAACAATCGTACACATCTTGATAAAATACCATAATCATAATATTTCTTAATTGTGAGTTTCTTTACGTTTCAGTCAGTTTATTGATAGTCAATCTAATGACGACGGTGACGGAAGCATTTCAGAATTTGACGATGATAGTGATCAGTTTTTAGCGCCTAATGAGAAGGACACAGTTGGTCCGAAATCAGCTGATCAGTCCTCTCGTGATCTACCAAATCGACCAATAAGCAAAGAGGTTAGCCGTAATCATTTTGAATTTAAGTTTATTTCATTATTTGATGTCTCAATGGAATCTTTTTGTATAAAATCCTGACAATAAATAAGTATAAGCGTGACTCATCAACCGTTTACTTGGTCATACTTTCCCAGTGTGAACCTGTTATACTACTCATTTCCCTAAATTGAAGTTGGTATACTAGGGCATTCGAAATATTTGGCGACTATATCCAGTGGTTTACACGATAACTTTTCATCTCAAAATAATTCGAGAGAATGATGTAATCAAATCAATTTCTCTAGCGATTAGATTTGTGAATTTCTTTATATTATTTTCATTCCAGAAAATTGATATTCCCCATGATATTAATTGCTTGCCATTCTGATGTGTGGATGAGAATGATAATTATTGACTGTTTGTTTAGTCAGACTTGTAATAGTCCAACAGGTATTAGATGAGTTATATATTTTCCTATCGTTATTATTATTATTATGGAGAGTTCGGTCTCTTCATGGTAAAATGAGTAGTAGCAATAGTAATAAATGTGATATCAGTGTTGCTGATGTTGATAGCTCATGATATTTTTCCTGTTTCGTCTATTTATTTCTAATCCCTCATATCTTGTTCACTCCAATCGAACAGTTCTTGATCTGTCACACTTTATTTCATAATCTGCTACATTTTGTGTCTTTTTCAACCAGTTCTATCTTTTTCTTCTACTTTTTCCGCCAGTTTGATGTGAGGTATTTTCTTTCTTTCTCCAGATAATGAAAAATAAAGGCATTGTAAAATATCGACATAAACGTGAACGTAATCCTAGAGTGCATTTACGGCATAAATTCCGTAAGGCAACAATTCGTTACAGATCACGTGTTGCGCCGGTTCGTAAAGAAGACAAACCATATGCTGGTGAAGTTAAAGGAATACGTGTAAATTTGATTAAATCGCATAAATTCAAAAAATATTAATTCACTTTTCAACACATTCAGTACTTCTTTGTAGTTGATTTTCTTACCTTTATGTGATTAGCGGTGTTATATATTAAATGTATTAGATTAGGTTTTATTTGCGAAAGTTGACAGTGATTACAAATTAAATACGGTGGGAAGATAGTTTTTGTTTCAAATAGAGTCTACTGGAACTAATATACTTTACGACAATTCAACATTTTCAATCGACACGGATAACGGATAGTTTCGAAGTATGATACGAGGCTTTCCGTCTGTGGGAGCTAGGTTGCGTAGTTCTGGGTACCTGTGTGGTACAGTTTGACGACTAAGAGCTCTAGTACTCATAAAGTTGCTGGTCACCCTTATTTTACCTCGGGAATATGGGTAGAGGTGATGCCTAGTCGCTATCAGAGAGACTGATAATCTTCAACCATAGTGTGTAGTCGGATTTGACTAGCGATTTTAAGTTTATTAGGGAGCTAGTCTGTTTGATTTCGCACGTACAGGGTCGCCTTCAATCTTAATTGTACGGGTTGCTGTTGGGAGGTTGAAGATTTTCTTTGTCCTAATTCTAAAGTTTCGCTGGTTCATCCCAAGATTTTACATATATCAACATCTGGGTTTTGGAGAATATAGAGAAACGAAGGATCCCCTTGCATACTGCACAACCGGAAGTCTCTTGTGTTTCAAACGTCGTATCTTGGTGTCAAGTAGAAATTCATATCCAAAAAGTCTTCCTAGCATATCTAGATCCAACTTCGACTCTAAATTCATTAACAATGTCTTTTGCTTAAATTTCACGACTCTCGTTTTAATTTTCAGCTTGAAGTATTCCAGGTGAGGCTTATCATCTCAGTTCGGTATTTTTCTAGGGATTGAGACCAAGCTCTCAACCTGTATCTATTCGAAAGCTCGTTCCAGAATTCGTGTTTCTAACTTGATGTAAGCAACTGTCTATGCTTTTCTCCCCAGCTCTCACGACTTGTAGGGGGGTTGCTAGTTTCTCATTTTCTTGGAAACGTGGTTTATTCAGTGCCAGGCTTAAGATGATACCAACAGAACCATCAAGACTATTCAGGTCGACGTGTTCAGATCCATAATCTTGAATTTCGCCGTTATGGTGGCGTGCTCTGCTTTATTGAACATATTTTAATTCGGGCAGCAATCTCTGGAATGAGATCTGCTTTTATGGGTCTTTTGGTCATTCTTGAATTCATATGCGATCTGGTGTACGAAGTGTGACAGGAGGGCCTTCCCCATAATCCATTTTGCAACATATCTTAAGTGAGTCAAACATGTATCAGAGCTTTTGATCCTCCTTGGTTAAGAACCGTTTCACGCACAGTGTTGTTACTGACCAAAACTCTTATACAAGATCTGTGATCGTAAGGTATTACATATTGTCTACCTTTGAATAATCTTTTAGTCTTTGACCATCTAATAAGGAGACGGTTCATAATCTCACGTCTTAAGGTATCGTATGGTTGTGGGATCCAAATTGTGAGTTTATGGAGGTCATAAAAGATTGTGTCGGTGAACAACATCCTTGCAATAAATTGATGGAACGAACGAGAAGGTATGGAGGAGGTACTAGGAAAAAAAGCGAAGAACCCAACTGAGTATACAAGAGCGGGGTTCTTCAAACACCAGTTATGTCAACGTGGTCAAACACAATTATCACAATACGAAAAATATTCCGACCAGCTAAGAATAAATATTCAGTTCAGAAAGGGTTAGTTAGTTCAATCTATATAGATGAGAAATCAGGCCTGAACTAAGTTATACAGAAGTAGGAAAGGTTCACAACCGATACCGTTTATCAGTGGCAAACGCTCTTAATAAGTGAGGGAAATGCGGTTCAATTATTAATAAGAACAGAGCGATCAGCTCACATAGTACCGACAAGTACAAAGTTGGAATAGTGAGTAAAAGTCTAATCGACGTCATTCAGTTGGTCAATCTTAAGATGTGAACCCTAGAACAACTTGATAATCACAAACGTTGTACACGTAAGTACTGGGGGCGTTCGTAGAAACATCACGTGCAAAGACATGTCTGCACAGAGTTCATACATAGAGGATTTTCGCGCATACATACAGGAAAACTCCTACAAAAACAAGACTTCATTTATGCATATTGAAACTCAGAGTCATTGCGATCAGGTTCCTCGAGTGTGAACATCGTTATTACAATTGTAATGTTTTGCTTCGCCTCCCGGTTTTCATCCTTCATTGGGTATGACATTTTGTGGTGTATGACAAACGTTTCCCTATAATATTAACGAAGAAAAAATTTCAAACTAACAATATGAAGTCAAAGTGCTTCATGTTTCCCAGTACATCGTTTTGGTAAGTGACCGGAAGACTAGTGTGATATTAATACGAACTAGTGAATCTTTCGTACTTGATTGCGAATTCTAAATATAGTACGTCCATTCAAACCGAAGTAGTTTTTTCTTTCTTAGATTGTACTATTTCGGAGATTCCTAGTTAGCACAATAATCCAAATACTTCCAGTTACCATACTGGCGTCGCGATGGAGTAGAATGTTGGACGGTTGGATAATGATTCAAGTGGGAATGGCTTTGAAGACTACATGGAGCGGTTGGAAATCTGGTATGACTATGAAAGATACTAAAGATGATCAGTTTACAGCTTATTTCCAGAGGTTCATCAACAAAGAAGCATGTTACCTGTTAATGAATATGGCCTTTCCAGAGAGACTAATTTCATTGTCACATTAATCTCTCAAGCAACTGCTACTTAGTCACATTCAATGTGCTAGCTTTTAGTGAATAGAAGGATCGAAGCTTCATAAAATGATATTAAAATATCATCACAAAGTTAAAAACTTCATACTTCAGCCACAGAAACAGATCGTGAATTGCAATTTTGGAGACTGATCGGGAACTCAAATTCACGATCGGTTGATTTCTGGGATAAATATTCCGACTTTAGAAAAATGATTAAAGCAGAAGCTCGAAAGTTCAATCCAAGAATTTATAAAAGAATGTATTAACTATGATGTAGTAAATGTGCTCGGTTCCCAGTCAATTAAAATTTCCAATACTTTACTTGGTCATTGTGATGAACTACACTTTAAGGGTCGCTCAAGCTCGCATTAATTTAATAATGATTCTCACTCGTGGAAATATTAAAAATGACTAATTGAAGAATTGTAAAGCAGGTTACAGAAGTGAGCACAGGTTTAGTAGGTGTTCATACTGCGCTTTTATAAAGTGGGTTTGATAAATTTAAAGTAGCTTGATGTGAAAGTGTTCTTACCAGCTTTTTTTTAGAAGATTCTGATACCTGACCTAAAATTTTGCTAGCTGAATGCTCCAGATGAAGCAGATGGATGAAAACTCAGCCTGTTGAAATCCAAGCTCAGGATGATCACGTCTTTCTTAAAAGACGAATAATTGCTTATGGTCTTCGATAAGCGGTGCATATGACACTGAACAATGTTTGTGCAAAACGTATGACTTGATCGATCCAAGCTTCAGCATGGAGTGCTCGTATTGTTACGCCCTTGAAGTGGGATGGTAAGATCCCTAGAATATGAGGAGATTACAGATCAACACTGGACTCCCGTTTGCTGAGACAAACGTGAACGACGGTGGAAGCTGAAGATATTCTTGACCGACTTCATGGTCCTGAGAAGTTATTGAAAGTTTACTTAAGAGATGGTCATCTCCAAATTCCCTCAGGTCGATCTTTATCTATTTTAACAATAACTAACACTTATTTGGCCTGTTCAATTATAACTTCCTTAAATTTAGTCCAAGTTGTTCTTCACCTATAGTTCAAGAAATGATGAATACTGTTGTCAATGATCTTAAAGGGGTTCAATTTTATGGAGACTGTCTCATTGTTCATGGTTCTGTTAATTTAGTTCATGACCAGGGACTTATTGCTTTATTAGGTG